GAGAGTACACACTGGAGAAAAGCCTTATCAATGCAGTGAATGTGGAAAATCTTTTACAAGTTGCAATGGTCTCCAATATCATCGGAGTGTTCACAGTGGTGAAAAGCCTTATCAATGTAGTGAATGTGGGAAATCTTTTACCCAGAGCACTGCCCTTCATTATCATCAGAGACTTCATACAGGAGAAAAGCCTTATAAATGCAGTGAATGTGGAAAATCTTTTACAAGGAGCAGTGGTCTTCACTATCATCAGAGAGTTCACACTGGAGAAAAACATGAGTGCAATTAATATGAGGTATCTCTCAGCCAAATTTCTAAATTTGCTCTGCACATATGAGTCCAAATGAGAATAATTACTTAGATGTGTACAAAATGTAGTTTTTTAGTTAGGTCTTAACAATAGTATAAGAAAATTCGTGAAGTCTTATTTGCCTGAATTGTATCTAATACATGTAATCACCTACATTATATAAAGTCCCCATAAGTGTTTTTGTTGTTTTTATTTTTATATTTGAACTATACGTATCTATGTTTCACTTTCTAACATACAAAGATGTGTTGCCAGATCTATGTCACTACATATTTCTGGGTAAAGTCCCCATAAGTGTTTTTGTTGTTTTTATGTTTGAACTATATGTATCTATGTTCCACTTTCTAACATACAGAGATGTGTTGCCAGATCTATGTCACTGCGTATTTCTGTTGCTGAAGGTATTTCACCTGAAGTACCAATAAGGCCCCTACAGATGGCATCGATCACCATCCTCTTGTTCCCAGGGAAGGTAACTCTGTTGTGTCGTTTGTTGAAGAAAATTAGGAATACCTGAGCCCTTCTGAATTGTTTTCACTCTAACCAGTTGGCACATAGGACTTATTAGTGTTGGCCCCATAAAACATAATATTACATAGCTACTGCCATTCTCAAGAACACACTTTCCCTAGATGCCAATGATGAATTTATCGAGAGCCTAAGTCATCAGTGCAAGAACTGCTAGTCTCATGTCTCTTTGGTTTGTAAAATTTTAAAGGCTTTTTCCTAAGACTTCTCATCTTGGGTTTGCTGTTTACTCTATGAGTTATAAGGAGATCTGGGCTTTCCTAGCATGATCAGGTGAAAAACATATGGGGTCTCAAACATTTTTGCCTTTGAGGGAATAGTATGGTGCAGAAATTTCCAGAGCAGTTTTTGCTA